TTGCGAGTTAGCTGCATGTCTTAAATTTAATATTTCCTAAACGATTTGCTTATTTGCAATAGTCGTTTGGTCTAGATTACCAGAAGAAAACTTGTGGTAAATGGAAATGTAGCTGCAGAGAGTATGTATTTATTATTTTTTAGATTTGAGTTAAATGTTCTTTCTAGAATTCTATTCAAATGGTTTCTAATCAAAAAGCAACTCTCTATTCCTTACCCACCCTTAAAAGAGCACCAGAGCGCCACAAGAATTTGATTCAAGAAAGGACGTTATTTATATTGCGCGCTCGAGTGCTCGAAAGTTGGAATAGAATAACATAAAGTAAATCTCAAAAATGGCTTTTAATGTCACCGCCTTGCAAGTGGCCTTCAGCGTGGCCATGGCAGACCAACCTGCCGGCGAGTAAAGTTTTTAATGCGTCAAGGCCTAAGCTGAAGCCACTTTCTGAAGCGCTACAACAAAGCCAAACACCACTTCAAGTTTGCAGCTGCGACTTCAGTGTTTGCCTTTGCATTGAACATTTGTTGCATGCTGCTGCACTTGACTGTTTGCGACAACTGCAACAACAAAAATAACCCCAACAACAAGAGCAGCAGCACCAAAAACGATACTCACAATTCAACTGTTAAAAACAGCATAACGTAATTATGAGTTACCATTAGGCAATGGCGATGGCAACGTGAACTCTGACACAACAGCTCCACCTGCAACTGCCACTGCCAGACGACCATCAAATGGGCGCCGCAGAGTGTCACAGTAAAATGTAAAAACATTTCGAGTGACATTCGTGTATTTTTTGTTGTATATATTTTTCGTTTATTTTTTTTTTACAGCTCTAAAACGCCGCAAAACGCCCAAGTGCTCACTTCATTCACACTCGATGCGTTTCCATGGTCGGCGGCCTGGCAAGGGGATGACAGTTTCGCTTTCCCTGCAAACAGGTAAGACCGACTGCTGTTTTATAGGAAAATATTTACAATTTGGTATGTAGAGTGGCGTTTCTTGTGCGCTTTTCCGGCGCCTTCTCGTGTGCCGCTTAGTTGTATGTTTTAAAAGGCTCTGGGGCTTTTGTTTGCAACCGCCAGCACTCAAACGCACACATACACGCACACACACGCAAACACACACACACACATTCTAATAGCATTTCAGTTGGCAAGCCTTTTTCATGTCCTGTCAAGTGTTTGCCTTTGTCACAACCAGCTGAGTGTAATGCCCGATGATTCGTTACATGTTAGTCCGCTAAAAAGTTTTGTTGCTTTAATGTGTTTTGCTCTTTGCCATTTAGTTGATTGCTCAGATACATTGCTTGAACCACAATCTGCAAATTGTATCTCATTTATTTCAGCCCCTTACATTATAAGGTTGCACAGCTTTACATTTGTCAGCTATTTAGTACTCGTCTGCATTGGGACTCTGGCATCCTCGTGTCAGTTGTTGCGCTCGGCTGTCAATTTGTGTCCTGTCACTTATTTCACTCATTCCTAATAGGAATCGAATTTCCAGGCTAACAGATATGTGCCGAAAGCCGACGACTGAAAGCACTACAGATCTGAATCTAAGGATAATTTCCGAGTTTATTATTTACTGGCAGATGCATTTAACCTCTCACCTCGCAATAAATTTTCATTTCAACTTAGTAGCATGAGGCATATAAAAATTTATTCGCAAGCTGACCAGGTTAAAGTAAACTGACTGAAAAATAAGTCGTTTAAATTGTGTTAGCCTTTGGCCAGTTTGGGGCTGGAAGCAGTCTAAAAGTAAGCTAGAGTACTTGACAATTTGTGGCGTGATAAAGACGACGAGACTTGTGGAAAATATTTAATTAAAATTAAAATATGGCAGCTGCTCACGACTACATTCTCCGACACAAATCGCATTTAATCCATCTGCAGTTTGGTGCTGCCTTCAGGGCTGCACTTTGGGGCAATAAATTTAAAGCCAACCCTGTCGCTCTTCGGCCAAACTAGTCCTAACTAATGCTCAAATATACTTACCAACAAATATACGTGGTGACATACTACTGGGTAGCGCCTGCAGCTGATCTTGTGCTGCAACTGCGTCTGCTGCCGCTGCTATTGGAGCCCGAACCTCGACTTCCTGGCTGCGCTCCACATTTTTGCCACGAAGATTTTAACTGTCAGCAACTTGGGCGACTTAATTTGAATTTACGGCGCCATGAGGAGCGGCTCGCACTGCTTCTGGGTCTTGCGTCGTACTGGGCTATTATTTCGCACAAACACCATTAAATACTGAGTGGCGCTTCTAATGTGTTTATTGTTGTTACTGTTCCTGGTTCGGGGCTTGTCCAGGGCGAGTGTTCCCGGACTCGTATGTGCGCGACAATAATATTCAAATGCTACAGCATGGCGCGACTGTTCTCTAGCTGTTTTTGCTCGCGTGTGTGGGCGCTGCTTATGGGCGTGGTATGACTCTTTTGCACCGAGTAGTCAGCGCCTAGGTACTCGCTATTCGCCAGGCCATGCTGGCTATAGGAGCCTTCACATTCGCACTCCTGGTTGCAGTCATGCAGCTCGGCCCGCTCTCGAGTCCCGCCTGCATTTTCATATTTATGTGTCTCTAGATAGCGCCACAGCAGTCAAAAGTTCTTCGTTCACACTTGCCACACACACACACACATGCATACAGACACACACACACATACAGACACACACACACACTGACTGTGTGTGTGTTCGTGTTTATATGTTTATATGCTAATACTTTAGCACACATGCCGAGCACTATTATCGCGGGTGCCACTTGGGCGTCGAACTTCCGCCATCCTGCTGTTGGATCTCAAGGCAATTCTGCAGAATGGCAATTTCAGTTTGAGCTTGGTGTGTACTGTAAAATGAATTTTACTTCATTTTGATATGTTTTCCCTGTTGGTTTAGTGTCGGGCACATAAATACATGTGTGCCCCGCAGATAGATATGTGGGGTGTTTTGTTAGTTTGTTTTGCCTGCTGGCTGAACTATCGCAATGATAATAAATTTTATTAATCTTGCTGTCGCACAAGCGCACACAAACCCACCCACACATTGACAAAGGATGTATATCTTTTGCCCACGCCTGGTACTCGCTGATCAAGTGCTCAACTTGGTACTCAAATATGTAAACGTGGCCCAGTACCCAGTGCCGCCATTAGCGAGGAGCACGCCGGAAGCCCAAAACACAGCACGCGGGCGACTTGCTATTTATTTTCATTTCTCGATGCAACCGGCAACAATGCAAGGACAGAAACTCACCGACGCCGTCATTTCCATAAGGTAGGAAGACTCTTGAAATTTATGGCGTAATTACTATTATGCATTCTAATTGCGTGACTTGTTTATTTTGCAATGACTAAAAAAGATTAAGTGTATAAATAATATATGAATATTTTATGAAGATTGTTGCTAATATAATTTAAGTTTAATTATTTAACACAAGCTGTGTCCAAAGGGTTCTTAAGAGGCTAAAACAGTGCTTAAATTCAAACTCTGCAGTCAACCAACAGGAATTTAAAGATGCCGCCGCAACTCTGCCTCAGCACATATACTAAGCGAGCTAATCAAAAATTTATGTAATTTCTGGTGCACTCAAATGGGGGACGAGTGAAAGTGCATTGAGGTCTAGTGGGGATCAAACAGAAACCCCCAGACTGTGCCCGCAATTAAAGCCCCCTCGGCAACAGATTTCCTACAGCGAGAGCTGTGCTGGCCTTTGCTGTGCGGCCTACGGCCTGTGTCCTTCGTCCTTGGTAAACGCTAAGCAGTAAATTTGATGATGTCGACTGCAGTGCTCTTGTGTTTTAGCCGCTGCTGTCTACTGCTGCTGCTGCTGCTGCCGCTGTTGCTGTAGGAAATGCAGTCTAAAAATCAACAAACGCCGGAAATGCGCCGCTGTCGCCTTTCCGATTAAAGTTTCTGCATTCAAAATTGGGCTGTGTGCTGCTCGCATGGGTGGCCACGGGGGTGGCTGGGTAGCAGGAATGTTGTCCCCGCGGATTCTGTGGCTACTTTTACCAAATCTAATTGCAAACTTTATTTAGCTGCAGCTTTCCAACGCCCACTCGCCAACTCGAAAAACATACAATGTGGCGAAATTGTTTTTACGTCTCGTTGCTGTTGTCGACTGTCCTCTGCGTAGTTTCCTGTTTGGTCGCAGTAAATCATGAAATTTATTAGAGAAAATACGAGAAAAAACTAAAATAATTTGCAAATGTTGTCAGCTCTTTGAGTGAATGCAAGCACGCCCTTCGCTAGAAGCCGTGGCATTAATTTAGATGTTATTAATTTCGTTTTGCTGGGTAACTTCATTGACAAAGCCTCAAAGAACGCACGGGCCACAGAGAATTTTGTTTAGATATTTAATCAAAACTAATTGAAAGTTTTGTCTTTGTTGCTGCTCCGATGCCGGCATCCCAGCCGAGCAGCAGTCAATCTTGCAATTTGAGCCCAACTAGAAAGGCTACAAATTATTTTTGGACCCGAGAGAGGCCCCTCCTACAAGAACAACATCAACAGACATGCCAAGCACTTGACTGACGTTTTGCTAAATCTGTCATAAGTTTGATAGGGGCCAGGAAATGAGAGATGCTGCAGAGCCATGTTGAGGAGAGCCCAGAGCTGGTCAAGCTCGAGGGCACTTTTGAATCGAGCTCAGGCAAAGTGGCAAAACATAGCTTAAGGATCTGTTAACGCAATTAAGCAAACGTTGCCAAACGAGGAACATTCTTGTACCCTGGCACTGCTGCCTCGGAAATGAGCAATGCAAATGCGACAAGTGCGTGGCAGGTAAAGTGTGCACAGCAATTAGGCACCCCAATGAACTTGCCTCAACAAGGTTTTGCATCAAAAAAGGCTTGAGAGGAATTTGGGTTACATATTACCTTTAAAGATTTGGCAGAAAATAATAGATAATTTTCGTCCATAGAATATAAGTAACTAGCGTACAAATTCGGCTGTTATGCCTATTTTTGAGATGAATGAAGCAGCTGGTTATTCGTTTTAATATTTTTTTATTTCGAAATATATTAATCGAATAACTATTGAAACTGATGAGAGTTCAATAGATAATAACGGCAAGTTTAAATACCAATGAAATGGCCAAGAGACATCATGTCTAACTACTCATCCTGCCGTTTGCGAATAAACTCGTCAGCATGTTTTGCTAATCACTTCTTTATTTTCTTGAACAGTCTAGGCATCTTTAAGAATGTTCGTGACTTAGGCTGAAGGCTTGATGGGGCAGCACCTATATCTATGGGCGAATCTCTCTTAATCGTTTCGGTTACACAGCGTGAGGCATTTGGAATCGTCAGCGAGCGGGTTTTCGTCACTGGAAGGGGCTCTACGTTGCAGCTAGTGCCGCCTACCTTAGGCGAAATGGTTACCACATAGGAGAAGGGTCCAGTGTTTCGCGAAATATTCTCTTGTTGTTGATGCGGCAGCTGCATGAGCAGGTCACCGATTTGATTGACAATGGGAGACACAGGTGATCTCAGAGTATTAAAGGGCTCTAATCTGCAGGACTTGTTACTTCCCAGCACCATGCTGGAGGTGCTTTTTTTGCACAAGCAGGTCGCGCTGTTCATCCTTTGTAAGGTCCGTCGTGTGTCTATTGTCGGCAATTGGCTGCTGGTTGTGGCACGAATCAGACGCTGTTGGGAAAAGATAGGGGTCTGGAAGTCAAGGGAGATGCTTGATACAGACGTCTCAATCGGCGCATCTCGCTCTATGTCAAACGTGGCTTGCCGCCTTATGCGTTGTTGCTCTGCCAGTGGAGTGGCTATAATCGGATCGCACTGCTGCTGTTCGCGCAGCTTCTCAAGTTGTATGCGGATTTCGTCCATTCTTGACATATGCGGCACTAGATCCTCGACACTAGTGGCATGCGCAATAGGCGTAATCGAGCCTGTTGCCAAAGATGCTACGGGTTTCCCTTCAGCTCTGAGCATGTCTAACTGTAGTTGCTGCATATCTGCCAGGAAGTCACTTTCCTCCTTAGCATCTTTCTCCGACTCGGTGATTGGTACCGTATCAGTTGCTGGGCTCGTGTGATCCAGCCAAGGAAGCACGCAGCATTTCTTCTGGATGCGTTTCATATTCTTTTTTTCTCTCTTTGACAGAGCCGCTTGCAGCTGCTGTCGCGACTTCACACATACACCATCGACCAAAATAAACGGTACGCCCGAGCTGTCGCACTGGGCAATGTCTTCAATGCCGGCCAGTCGATCAGTGGAAATACCATTATTGGGACACTTAAAGACATTTGCTTTAGCCGGTAAAAAAGTGTTTGGCATATTCGTTGCCTCCGGCTTGCTTCCAGTGCGACTCCTTTTTTTGCTCATTGTGGCTGTGAGCAAATGTGAGCAAAGCGTCATTCAATTGCCCCTTGGCGGTTTAATGCAAATCAAATTAGACGATCACATGGTTCACTGAATGTCGCATATGATGAACGGCTTTCACGTTTTCACGTTTATACCAGCTGACACTCGTCACACATTTGATTTGCATTTAATTGTTGCGGAAATAATGCGAAACGCGTCTAGACGGCGTCATCCGCCAACTTTTGCGACTCACCTGAACGAAGAATAGTTACCGCTACTGTACCTAAATTTAAATCCCTCTTAAGTTCTCTGGCAAAAATCGAATTGAAAGGGATAAGCAACTTTTACGAACAGAAGAAAAAAACAAAAAATGTTGCTTTAAGTCCTCAAGCGTCCTTCGAGGCAAAGCGCGCGCACTTGTGGCTGCCAGGCGCCTTCTGCCTTACTCTTGTGTTTGTTTTGTGGGCGGCGCAATCCGTACAGCAAAACTTTATTTTGTTCTGATAAAAACTTAAATGTTACTGTTGCCGCGAGCTGCCGTAAATGCTTGATATCCCCAAAAGGTTAACAGTTTTGGTTGCTGCTCCTGGTTTTGCTCTGCTTGACGTCAGCTTTGTGTGCTATTTTTCTTTTTTATTATATTTTTTTAAGAATTTTGCAAAGCCACAACGTTTGAAACGCCCGCTCAGCACACACAGAAACACAATCAGGCAAACATACACATAGATACAGGTGCACTATGCGTGTGTCTCACTGTGGTTTTGTGTGTTTTCTATTTCTTCGTTGCTGGCTGCTACATTAGGAAAAGCGTGCTCAGTCAAATTTGGTCATATCACTAACAAGAAGAATTTAAATTAATAAAATATATATATTCCAGCAAGTTGGAGCCTTTAAGACTTGAAATTTTAAATGACAAAACCGGCAAAGGCCTTAGCCCTTAGACTAGAATACGGCCCACTTCGTTAGATAGACCTGAGGTAACGATTTATCGTTTCTTCTAAATTTTTACACACTCTTAATGCTGTACCTTTCGCATCCTTATTCTCTTCTTTTCACTCTCTTAAAAATGCATACGATATGAGCGGGCCACACAAAAGCGCTCAGTGTACTAAAAAGCTCACGAATCGCTTGAGTCCTGTCAACCGAGCGCTCAACCGAAGATGGCAAGGAGCACGATGAACTGAATGTGGACGATGACGCGGCTATTGCCGATTGTAGGTTGTGCGGCTCCTCGGCTATGAACATGTTAAATGCGCCAGTTCAGTCAGAATCGGTTAGGTCTACGGCGCGGACGTGACAGCGGCTGGTCAAAGACTTTTTCCACAGGATGCGATCGTATGTTAACAATAATTTGCGGTTGTGGAATTAGCTGCCGAATAACAACGTAAATTCGACAAGTTGGCATAATGCCTTTCGTAAAACTTGGCCCATTGCCTTGGCCACGTCAGTGTGTGTGTTGAGAAAGTGAACTGCAGCTCAGTAGCCCAGGCGTGAAAATTATTAGTGTGCAATTGTTTTCAAAGTGAGCGGGCAATTAAAGTTTCAGACTCGCTGACGAGTGACGTCTAATGGTAGCTTGATGGCTGCCTGATGCAAGTCACGACATAAATTACTCGTCCAGGTAGTTAAACGACATGAAACAGAATAGTCGGCAATAGCGTTTGTGTGAAAAGTACAAGAACGTCAGTTTAACCAACAGCAAAATTCAAAGAACAACAACAATAATTGGATCAAAATCGAAGCACATGAAAGTACATTTCAAACTATATGGATACTTGTGAATGAAGCATTGGCAGCCAAGGACTGAGCAAGCCTAGAACTGGGGAAAATATAAAAGTTAATTATGTAAGTGCTTAAGTCTTAAGGGAAAACAAAAATGATAGGTATTGCGTGGGCAGTAAATGAAAACGGTAACTGGAAATGTTGCGGCAAGGGAGTAAATCAAATGAAATATTGACATCTAGATCGAAAAGGCATCAAAAGCTTGATACCCATGTACACGAAACCTTTGCGATCATGCAGTCCAACTGCCAGCTGTACGCAACCCTGGAAAGGCAGTCGTTGACCCCATTAGCAAGCATTGCAACGAACTCAGCATTGGGCCAGAGGTCGGGGAACCGAGAGTATTGGGCAAACAATGCACACTCAAGGGGGCAAAAATGATTTGGTTACTTCGCCAATAACAAAAGATAAATAATGGGGACAGACAGCGCCACATAGGCAAACAATTTGGCGCCCCGTCATAAATTCAATTAAAATTCAATCGAAAATATATGCAAATTAAACAATGGCGTACATTAAGGGGCTAGTTGGCCATTGAACAACAGTAAACAATGATTGTCCCTAATATGAATACAATAGCTTAACATATCGTCAGATATGCACTTATGTACATACATAAATAAGTATGGCCAGTAAAAAGTAAGCACCATTTGTGCTTTTAGATTGATTATTAAAGTAAAAGCCACTTCGTGACTTCATAATTAACCTTTTTCAGAATTCCATAAATATTCAAGCTGCAGGCGTCAGCTTCGTTCTTTCAATAATGTGGATGCCACTTGAGCGAAACTTGAATATTTTTTACACTTTCCGTGCCGCAACTTTTCAAATTATGTGTCATTTTTCCCCAAGAATTCACGTCTAGAAAATTTTATTTTTACATTTTTATTCTTTTGGTCGTTTTGTTAGTAAAAGTTTTTATCGTTCAAAGTCATGCCGACATTGCCTCATCATTCGGAATTGTGGGCTTGGTAAAAAAGTTTCACCCAAACAATTTTTGATCAGGTCAAATTTAATCTATAAGGATATGGAAAAGCTTTCTTCCATTAGGTATACGACTGTGTGCATGTATATATATGTGCATGTGCATGTATATATATGTCTTAAGTATACTCACAAAATTACCGATTTGTTTGATATACCTATTTTTACAAATAAACATTAAGAAATATATATATTTATTTATACACACAGTTTGTTGAGCTGTTTTTGCTTAACAAAAGCTTACGCAACATTTTACTTTAGTACATTAAGACAAACTTCCTTTTGACACTGCTCGTAATTTCCTGCTTTAATAATTTGCAGTAGCTTAACTGAGATAAGCGGCCGTGACACTCATATTTTGCCTGTTCCTTTATTCCATCAAAATGCGTAATTTTGTTTTTCCTAATCCAGAGAATAGCCACAAATTGAATGCCAGCTGTTTGCTTTTAATTTTAAAGTAACATTGCTTCAAAGTCCCTCACGCTTTACGCTAATAAGTCTTACATAAAATTTCCTTAAGGCGACACGCAAGACTAATAATATCAAGAAAAATGAACGTAAATGAACATAACTCATACGCAATATAAGCGCAAGGTGCGAAAGGCAATCTCACGACTTTCGCGTAAGGATGGTGATGATTTTTATTATTAATTTTTCTTGAGCGACAAGTCTTCCATGAAATAGTTAATTTTTTGACTTTATGTGACACCCATGCGTAAACCTTACCTCTTCTGAGGGTAGCCCCACTTTGGCTTTGCCTACTGAAGCGCGTCTGCGGTTGCCCAACGACAGTTTGGGACTTGGCGTCGTGAAGCTCTTACCGCAACCACAAAACGTTGGTATGGAAATGCTGCATGTTGTGTTTGTGTGTGGGTCTGTGTGTGTTGGGTAAAAATAACTATTATTAGACATCAGACGGCGTTAATTAATAGTATGCTCTCCGCATTCAGACTGTGGTAACATACATTAAAATTGTTTACCAATTTGCGATTCATAAGGAAAAGTACTTAGCTGAAAGCCTTAGAAAGTCACGTAGAAAGTATCACAATAAAGCAATTACCTAAAGAGAACAACTAAATCACGTGACAAACACAAAAAATTGTTTTCTTAATGCAACAACAAGCTGTTGTCGCTTTTGCGTGCCAAGGAAAAAAGATAGCCTTATCATGCTTCAATTATGGTAGTTCTCTACGAGGCTGCCACAAAGAACAATAACGAAAGAGTATAGCTCAATGTTACCACCACTAAAATTTACACATAAGACCGAACTATAGAGTATTGTGTCATATCATTGAGACGTGCACCTGCCGCAATTCAGCTCAGCATTGGCAACCAGGTTGCTTTTTGGTGTTGTTGTTATATTAGACTGTGCACTCATTTATGTTTTATGTGCCATGCACCTAAATCACCATAGACGCCCGCCAGTTGACGTTGCCATTAAAAATTAAAGTTTTTTCTTTGCCAATGAATGTCGTTTTCTTTTATAGTTGGCTGTCTTCCTGGCTGTTCGTATATTATATATTTTGCATGGTGTTTTCATCCTGACGTTGATTTAATTTTAGTGTATGTGCTCAAACTATTCCACGCACCAAAGAAATTTAAAATGTGTAGTTTTTATGTCAGCTGTCAGAATTTAACAAAAATCAACAAGTATTCAACTCTCAATAGGTTAACAACACTGAAGGAGGCTGACTGTGTGCGTACCTAAATGTTAGACTATTAGGTCTCACACGTAGCTGAACATAAATAATCATAATTTATTTATGTTATGGCTAGTCTAGGCTTGGGTAATTTTCTACCTTGCCGCACCATGAAAGGCCGTAAACACTTTGCCCCCACATGGCACAGAAGTATTTTTTTTTTTTGCAGTTATGAGCTGGTTTTATTTGCAAGCGTCATTTTTAACAACTGAAACGTAAAAATACGTCCATCATGTTTATTTTACAGCCTTTGTAGCACATATTTGAGTCTGTGTATCTGTTATGTGTTTGTCGCTATATTCAACATCCGTTAAAGTTCGCAGCCGTCTGGACTTACCCCAGTGCCAACTATAAATAAAATATATAGCAATGTCTCACAATTTCAGATGCATTTGCACTCACAATCATATTTCAATGGGCCCTCATGAATTTGACACGTTTCAGACGTTTTTGACAGCTGCTTAACGTGCAAGCTAGAGCCTGATTAATTTCTTACAACAATCGTTAGCCGATGGAAATCCATATACCAATATATGACCAATGGCTCACGCAGTTTAGTCAAATATCTTTTATTTCTTATAATACAAATGATTAAAATTCTTTGATACCTCATGGAAAGGCTATCAATTACATTTAGTCAAGCCAAAGCTTACTTTCAATTCATTCAGAAATAATACGTTTCAAAATACATATCTTAGTTTACTAAAATAATTGAAAACTTGAACTTAGTCTGGTGAAATTTAAGCTTTTTATATATAATAAAATATGTTAAAATATTATAATACTGATGTTAGCCAGATAGCCCGCCTCATTTTAATATTATATAAGCTGACGTTCAGGCAATTTTGGTAATTTACTTAATTTTGTATTCCCTGCTAATGTAAAATTCATATTTAAATTGGATTAAGTGTCAAACATTTTGACCTAAGCCAACAGCAATTTGCAGTTTTGAATTATAATCTGATTTTTGGTAATGTACGTTCTGCCCGCAGAGGCGCGACGATATGAGCAGCTACAACAAGCATACATATTTATGCAATACTCAAATTGAACATATATGGAATATATTATATCTGTGTGTATTTGTGTGCAACGGTTTGTCAATTTGTTAATATCTGGTGCGGGTCGTCCCAGTCCCAGTCGTCCGTCAAGCCAAAAATCAATATTATGCACAAATAGGCAGCAGCTTGACATCTTTGACATGTGGTCAGGGAGTGCAAGTGGTACTTCGTGGGTCGTCGCGTAAATTAAATTTGTCAGGGAATTGCTGCTTGAAGAGTATCATATATATTATTTATGTTGCATTTAAGAAGCAATAATTTGCATTAATTGCCATTTTTTATCTATCAAAAAGTTGAGGTGTATTTGGTAAACCAAATCAGCACACAAAAACTCAAACACATGACCCCAAAAACTTCAGGCAACTATGAAAGATAAA